AGGAAGAAAGAAGATACAATAAAAGGGTAAAGTGAGATTACAACGTTATGTTGTTAAAAGATGGCATACTTCCGACAAGGCATAGGCAACCGAAAAATATAGTCATGCCATGATAAAAGCCATAAATCAAGTTTGTTAAAATCCCGATTTGATCTCAAGGTCTTACGATTTTAAGATCCTACAAGTCAAAAACGACAACTATCACACTACGATCACGATCTTCCATTTGTAGTTTTGTTATATAGCTAAGTATCAAAAATCCGTCTATTCAAATTAAAATTGACCATCACAAGCTGCAAAAAGTCTTGTAAAGCATCACCATTTCAGCAATACATCTCCAATCAGGCAGAGTACACTCGTAATAACCCCTTTTTGATATATATATATATATATATATATATATATATATATATATATATATATATATATATATATATATATATATAGAGAGAGAGAGAGAGAGAGAGAGAGATAGAGAGGGGGGGTGGAAAGAAAGAGAGAGAGGTAGGTTCAAGTATTCTAACTAAATATTGTGTGGATGTAGGAATGATTGTAGACCAATCATTTAAAAAATCTGATTAGGGGTATAATTGTAATCTTGATGACACTTAATTATGGAAAATGTTTAAAACATTTAATCTCCTTTTAAAAAGGGGGGATTAGTTTTTCAGCCCTACAAAATTACTGAACCCTCATCACCATCCAAGCATACATCTTCATTCCTACCCCACATTTGGCACCAAGATTCCTCCATCGCCACCATAGTATCACGATTGATCTACCACTCCATGTAACGAACCAAAGAGGTCGTTGGAACCATTGCTATCATTGCCACCAACAACATAACTAGACTAATCGTGAGTGGGAAAGGGTTCAAAAAACCCTTTCGATCAAATATCTCTACTGGTATGATTAAGGTTCCAACTTAATTTTACCCCTCTGTTGATCTACTAATCTCCCCAGCACTTCAGTGTCCACCAATGCTTCCGCCTCCATGGATCGATCCTAGAATACGGTGATTTGTAGTCACCAGAAAAAGAAAAGTTTCATGACTTTTATCAAGAATTGGAAAATCTAGGTTCGTATTTTTAATTTCACGTCTGCAAATATTACTCTCCTCTTTATCTCACATGTTGAGACTTCTTTCTTTTGTTTTATGTTTTTCCATTAGTTTAAAGCATCTGTTTTCTTGTATGTATGTAACATGTTTGATGATTTGTCTAGCTGAAAAGTAGTATATAATTGTTTAATTTGTAATAAAACCGATCTCACATCTGGATTTTAAGTGGCTTTTTTTATAAATCTTGCATTTGGATTTCAATCTTTAAGCCTTTTGAACCTAGACCCATTTGCAATTTCATGCATATTTAGCCCAAACAGTGTGAAAAATAGGATATTGATTATCACCACATGTTCTTACACCTGGTCTTACACTTACGTGAAGGATAAAAAGGCATCGTGTTCCAGTTTTTATGCCCATGTTTTCTGTTCATCTCATTTTCATACATTCAAATCAATTCATGAAGGATCAGATCGATTATTGACTTTTCCAGGTTTCTTGTTCCTCTTCAGATTCTTCTTATCCCATTAATATCAGGTTTGTTTTTCTTACTTGCTACACGTGAAGTTTCGATATAAAATGTTATAAATGTTAAGTTTTTTATACAAAATGTTACCATTTGTTTAATAACAATTGTTATTTTTTCATGTCATAATGCTAGGAAAAGGTTTGTTGCAGAAATCTTAATGCCTCAAGTACTATTAACAAGAAAAAATGACTTTTTGGTTCTTTCTTATGTCAATTTTTGCATAGAAGGTCCAATATTTTTATGTCTTATTTGTTGAGAGTTGTATGTATTTACAATTATTTGTAAGTGTTTTGTTTCAGGACCACTCAAAATGTAGCAAGGTTTCTTGGAACAACAATGATGGTTGAAAATTAAGAAACAATTTCAAGACAATTGAGATTCACCACACCAATATTAAGAATGAAGATACTTTCAAGAATGACTTACTATAAAATATTCTATTCTTATGGAATGAAGATTCTTTCAAAATGACTTACTACAAAACATTGTATACTTGTAGAATGTGACAAATATTCCAAGAATGACATCATTTTTATAGAATGTGACTATAATTTTGTTTTACTTGTTTATTTTTGGACACTATTTTCTTGAATATTGTTAATAATAAATGATTATTCTTTAAGAATGTTCTTATTCTTCAACTAATGGCTCAAAATTTTGATATTCTTCAATATATTCATTCAATTAAAATATGTATTCTCTCAGAATATGCAATCTATCAGAATTTGTATTATACCAGAATATGCATTCTAACAGAATTAAATTTAAATTTATTAAAAAAATCAGAATCCAAAATTAAAATAATAGAAAATACCTTAAAATTCGAAAATTCATTTTTTAAATTTGTGTTTCCTAATTTAAAAGTAATGAAAATGTACAATTTTACCCATCTTTTAATTAAATGGTATTATTATTATTATTATTATTATTATTATTATTATTATTATTAGTTTAATAATATAGATAAATGACTTTCTTAAAATGATTAAAATGATTGGTCCATAATAACCTAATTATATATATATATATATATATATATATATATATATATATATATATATATATATATATATATATATATATATATATATATATATATATATATATATAAAGAGTCTTATGTCCTTAGTTGTACATGATCAAAATGATTTTATTTTAATTAAGATGTTTTCTTCTTAATTTTTATTGATTGTAGCAAAAAAAAAATTATGGTTCATACTTAAGAAGTTAAAATTGATTCCATTATTGATTTCTCAATCAACATCAATACCCAATATCTTGCGAACAAATTTGAATATAGGTTCATTTTTGTTGGATATTTCGATCATGATCTGATTTTACGATTACGATTTTACAAAACATAAACTAAAAATTAGATCTAGTACTTGATGAGCTTGCGTAAATAACAAAACCCTTATAAAGAGTAGTCATAAATGATAAGGTTTGAGATTAAATGTGAATGGTAAATATAGTGTGAATGTAAGTCTGAATTTGGACCATCGGATAAGAAAAATCATGTGATTAAGAATGAACGTTGATTTTATTAAATTTTGATTTAATTTTTCAATTCAATGGCTGATAATATTATTAGAAGGGCAATTGAGGATTTTTGTCGGATTTTATAAAAGGAAGTCGACATGTTACCCGATTCTTTCGTTCAACCGTTTAATATCATCTCATATTATTAGGTAAGAATGTTTATGATATTAACAAATGAATATACGATTTCCTGAAAACAAATCAATCATCCACTCTAAAAGATATCATATCCACAATTTTAAAAATACAATAGACCTATAAGAAGAGTGATAGATGGTTTACATACAAAGCAAAGATGCAACCACCAACTTAAGAACTGAATAATGAGAAGTTGTTCAAGCTCAAGATTACGAGAGAACTTCAAAACGAAGTTCACAAACACAACATTTGCGCCACTTCTGATTGATGAAGATGATGATTTTGTCAATGCACCACTGTCTGGTAATGTTTTATTATGTTTTTCGATATATTCTTCAAGAATTGAAGTGTTATTTTGCAAAATACTGTTCATTCTATAAGAATGAAAACGTAATGTAGGAGAATTTTTTTATGAAGTGTAGTTCAAAGCAAGTTTGGGTTTGCATAGGTTAGGTTAGTTAAAAACAAGTTTGCAATTTATTCTTCAAGAATTCTAATGCAAGTTTTCTAATATGGTTCATTTTGTAAGAATGAAGCGTTATTCTTGTAGAATTTGGTATGAATTTAAGTTTAAAAGAATTTAGGGTTTGAACAGGTAACGTATTGAAAAAGTTTGGTTTTTTTTTTGGGTTTGCTGGTGTTGTAGCTTATTAGTAATTGTTCTGTTAATATTTTCTTGTTCTTATATAAGTAATGGTGTAAGAATTAATGGTTGATTGCAATTCCATTGACGTTCAGATGAACCAGTGCTACTACAATTTGTGTCAGTACATGGTTGACAGCTTGATCAGGAAACAATTGTGGAATTGGGATGACCGATTATGCTATTACTGGGGGCCAATTATCATATTGTTGGTATGAATGTCATAAATATATTTTAAATACAAATGATTATTAGTCTTTGATGTCTACAATATTATATTTTCTAACAAATTAGTAATATGTATGAAGCTTGTTTATGTGTTTAATGTTCACATAAGTAAGAGCATTAAATTGAAAAAAAGGACTCCTTTCATAACTCATGTTACTGGAGATAAGTTGGAAAAGATTGAGGAGTTTGAGGTGAATGCAGATTTTCTTGGGATGTGGTAGTTCATCAGAAGGGAAGATGATTAACACGAAGATGTTAGTAGTGATACATATATGGAGTTGGAACCAGTTGAGAGAGAATCTGCAGATGAGAAGGTAAACATTGTTATTTTCTATCTGACATATAACACTCTTAAATTTGCTTTTGGCATTGATGTAAACGAACTTTATTTAAGAATGGGGATATGGCAATGAATTTTTTAATTTTGAATTACACATTCTGTCAAATTGACTTGTTTATGTTATATGATTTCTTTAGAATGATGACATGGTATGAGGTATATGAGCATGTAATGATTTATAAACTTATGTAATCTAAATGGATTAATATAACATTTTCCTGGTATAAATTATCTGGAATGAATGAATATGTAATATTATTTTTTTATGACAACTTAATTATTTGCTACGTATAGGCGTATTATGTGGTATTTGACATCAGGTACAATAAAATAGTGACTGAAAAAGGAAGCATGGGAAAAGAATTAATTGGAGGTCTGAAAAAGTTTCCTAATAATGAATTAGTGAACTATTGAGAGAAAGGATGACATTGATAAGAATGTTAATAAGGATGTGGCGAGTAATGAAGATGCAATTGAAAATGAAAGTGATGGCATTGATTAGGACACAAACACAGATGAACACATGTTAAAGAAAAATGCACAACATGATAATTTTGGACAAGCTTCAGGGTCAAATAAAATCCCTGTTACACCATTTGGGACAAAAGAGAATGTAGAAGACATTGGGCAACATAAGGAAGGGAAAGATATTGCATATGCCTACATGTCACCTATAGGTGAAAATAATGAAAAATGGGTCAATTTAAAAGAATTGAGAAGTTCACAATTCTTTAAACTGCTTGGAGTTGTAAATGAAGTATTGGATATGATGGATAAAGAATCAAGTAAGAAGAGGGTTACAAATGTTGGAGATTACAACGAGGGGTTGATAAGAGTTTAAAAGACACAAACAAGGAGGAAATAGAAGAATGTTAGTCTTTTGAATGTTTGGTTTTCAAAAAAATAGTTTTTATTGTATTTGGTTTGAATTAAGTTTATGTATGTCGTGTAACGATGTGAATTTTCAAAAAAAAATCATTTTTAATCATATAATATTCATAACACATTTAAGAAAACATCATTCATCTAGTTACAAAACATAACTCTAAGTTTAATTAGTTAATAATCCAGGATCCTGGAAATGTAATTCTTTCTCTGGTGTGTACAATCAATTCAGTACCGTCCCGCGATCCGAGAATACCTAGAACACATAACACATAACACGGTAAGCACGAAGCTTAGTGAGTTTCCCCAAATACGACATACATATAACTAGCCACTCGAGGCTATGGATCTACGAGACCTTCCGATCGATGTGTCTCAGTGGACCTTCCGCGCTCCACAACTCTGGTAGACCTTCCGGTCCTACCCATGATGACCTTCCGGTCCGACAGCTTTTTGGACCCTTAGGTCTGGTCTAGCTCGTTGGACCCTCTGGTTTGGTCTGGTTGAGCCTTCCAGCCTCATATATCGTTGGACCTTCCGGTCCGGTCTAAAATAACTCATAGAATAATATCACATAGACAAAATGCATAACTCAAGTAAGCACATAAGACCTTCCGGTCACACATAAATACTACTCTAGGTAACGTATAGTGAGAAGACTCACCTCGGCTAGCAGGTGAGCAAATCACCTCGCGCTCGGATCTCGAACTAGCCTCCTCCTAACACAAAGGATGAATATCTCTAATTAATACTCTTTTCACGACTCAAATAACCAAAGGTGATTCTGTCTATTTCTAACTCTTTGAAATGGGTAAAACACCATTTTACCCCTCCAAGGTCTCTATTACTTATGTTGACCAAAACCCAAAAATCAATAGAAGTCAAACTCGAGTCAACAATCCATATTTTACCCAACTCGCCGAGTCCCCTCGCATCTTCTGAATTCTTCCAAAAACTCACTCAACTCGCCGAGTTGACTCCTAACTCGGTGAGTCAACACTGGGATAAGGCTACTCAGACAAACCCGCTACGACTCGTCGAGTCATCCCATTGACTCGATATGTCGGCTCCATCGGATTTCCCATTCAGCCTCCTGAGATCAGATCTGTAACTCTAACTCATAGATCTAACCTCCTAATACTCAAAAGTCATGTAAACGTCCAACCTTTATGCTCATGCATCACATATTTAGCTCTATTTGACAAAATGACCCTCTTAATGATGTTTAAGGCTCAATACTCTTATGTGACTGCATAAAGTTGGGATCATAGGACTCTCTGGACCTCTCAAGGTCCAGATCCGATGTCTAAGCCTCAAAGGGACTTCACATACTTCATAACTCAACTTATAAGAGGGTGAAGAAACCCTAAATTCCTACTAACCATACTAAAGCGTGTGTATATTTATACCTTAACCAACAGCTTTGAATGGAATAACATGAAATCTGATCCCCTCAAATCGATTTTGCTTGAACAACCTCCTTCTTCCTTGCAAGAATGCACCAAGATGATGAAATTAGCCCCCTCATTCTCTCTATGCTCTCTGTATCAGATAGGGTCTCTTAAGCGAAAGTGTGGCCGCAAATGAAGGCCATACGAGCCTTTAAATAGGTCACAAACCCGGACAATTAGGGGTTTCCTCCGCAGAGATGACTCGACGAGTCAGATACCCGACTCGTCGAGTCCATCCATTTAACACGTCACCAACTCGCAACCCTACTTGATGAGTTGAGGCACCAACTCATCGAGTCACCCAAGAAAACTCATACATGCATATAGAAATGTTATACCTCGGAAATCAGGATGTTACAATTCTCCCCTACTAGAATTAGGTTTCGCCCTCGAAATCACTCCTTAACTACACAAAGATCGAATCCCACAAACCAAAGGCACTAACGAAAGGATCTCATACCACACCGATATCTTTTTCCATGGACACCTAAATCCACACAGAATTTCCCAAGTCCGGAACAGAATTAACCCTACTGCCGCTAAGATACTCCTTTCCGACCTTCCCAAAATCTGGAACTCTAGTGGCCTGGCCCGCCGCCAGACCGCCCACTCAAGCTATCACCATGTTATTCACTCCTCAAATCATCAAACCCTGATAACTCACTGCTCCTCTGATTCTCATAAGAAAAAATCAGACAATCGGCTACTGATTACTCATACCAAACGTACAAAACGATCTGAATAATGCCCCAAGGAACGAAAGGGTTCACCTCCCACCAGGGCTCATCCACTGAACTACTATCAGAACCCATCCGAACAATACACTTTCAACACCCTGTTCTCCAACACAAGAATAAAAATAATCATGCTCGCTCAGAAGTCCTTAAATATCTAAAAATCGTAATCCTTCACTTTCCCCCATATATCTCTTTTTAACATATAACACCTAGCTACTCTCGACCCCACAATTGGACCTCCAAAGGTCGCCCACTACATGCCCCAACACGTCTTGCTGCCTTCCTTCTCACAACAACTATCTCGGTCCATTGTGACACACAAGTCATGAAGTTATCTTTACCCCAAACGAATACTAAAATCCCAACTAAAAATTGACTCAACCCCGACCTCTGTCGTCTACTGCTCATAATTCTATGCATCTCGTGGTACCTCCCGTACCCGAGTATTGACTTACATAGGTCTAAGACATCAGATGACAATCAATACCCCTCAACATGGAACCCACCTCAGAATCCATAATCTCATCTCGTCTACCCAAAGCATCACCAGAGCCAAACTCAAACTCGAGAGTTTGGTCTGACCCAGAGTTGGAACCACTCGCCCCAATGAAGCACTCAACTCATGACTCATGACCCGCAACCCGTGCGTATACCACTTCTCCACTTCCATTTGGTTGCGACAACCACAACTCAATTCAGAATATAATAATTCCCAACAAATATGGAGACCCCATTCTCGCCCTGGTTCGACCACCAGGCTCCCAACAACTCAAATATTAGGGCTACCCAAGCCTAAAACTCTTCTGCTTGATGCTCTGATCAGAGAGTACTTCATCTCAACAATCTCTCGTTGACTAGTGAGTACTATGACTCCCCGCAATATCACAATACCCTCTCGCTGACTAGTAAGTACTACGACTCCCCGTAGCATCATAACAACCTCTCATTGACTAGTGAGTACTACAGCTCCCCGTAGCATCACAACAACTTCTCGCTGACTAGTGAGTATTGCGACTCCCTGTAGCATCACAACAACCTCTCACTGACTAGTGAGTACTACAGCTCCCCATAGCATCATAACAACCTCTCGCTGACTAGTGAGTACTGTGGCTCCCCGCAGCATCCCAACAACCTCTCGCTGACTAGTGAGTACTACGGCTCCCCGTAGCATCACAACAACCTCTCGCTGACTAGTGAGTACTACGGCTCCCTGTAGCATCATAACAACCTCTCGCTGAATAGTGAGTACTGTGGCTCCCCGCAACATCACAACAACCTCTCGCTGACTAGTGAGTATTGTGGCTCCCTGCAACGTTACAACAACCTATCGCTGACTAGTGAGTACTACAGCTCTCCGTAGCATCACAACAACCTCTCGTTGAAACCCATTAGCCGAAGGGCTCCTACTGGAACCATAGATACTTGATGCACCACTTTCCATCTCAAACTCAAGACCCAACATAATCCGAAATTCGAGGCATTAAACTCAGATACCTTGGTACACCATCACAGAACCTCACGATGTCTTGCCTCGGCTACTGATATCCTATTTATGACATCATACTCTGATGCACAATGCATCCTGACAGAATTTCTTTCACCACCGATCTTCCTGTCACACAACCCGAAATTTCGGAATATTACAATTCTCAATTTGAAGCACGAAGAAATGGTCAATGACTCAGAAAATGTTGATGACAATCCGAAACTCCCTCCAATAATGCTCAGAACTCATGAAAGCATACTCATAACGACCCGGAAGTTGGTTGCCTAATCAACTTCTACCCTTCCCAAATGCAAATACCAGCCCGTACATTGCACCAAAAAATTCTCAATCGGCGAACTAACCTTACGGGTCACCCCCCTCGAATTCACCATTATAACCTTGAAGAAATCCTAACCACCACAAGGTCTTCGACCAATAGCCTCCTGTCGTGGAGTCACTTATCCTTTCTCGAACACACGCAACATGTATTACCTTGCTCTGCACCTCACCTCGACCACCAATAATCCTGGTCCCATGAATCCGTTCCGCAAGTCTCTATATCCAGTTCTCCAACCGCTCTTGAACAAATCTCTAATCCCTTCAATAAAATACCCAGTTCTCCCCTACTTAGGGTTCGAACCAACACTGATTGGCGCTTTAACAATCTATCTAACAGACTGTTTCTTCCAGTAACATCGCACCTACCCTTGGAAAGTGTTGCGCAATGCTCGATGATCTCCCCGCTAGAGATCAAGCAACTCCAAATACCCCGAATCGCAGATAAAATCCTTGGAAACTTCTCATCATGATTGCCTCTAGTCATTCATAATCTCATACCATCCCATTACCAGACATCTCAAATGTCCAGTTGTAACCCTGACTCTCAGTCTAGAAATAATGAACTATCATACTTATCATCCTTAACTCATAAACCAACATTCCATCACGCAAATTATCATAAGAGCGGAAACCTCATTACCACACTCGATACCCATCATAGACAATAAGAGCCAATTCCCCGATATACTCCTCTTGATCGCCCGACGATGTAGCTAATACATACCATACTATACTCAATAGAGTGCATCCTTGTCCTTGACTATCTCAGTCCCCACTGACAACTTGCTTATGCTATATCGTTACCTCGCAGTAGACATATTGCCCAAATACTCTGGTGGAAGATTGCCATAAATGATAACCCTCAGGGTTTACCCCCAAGCTCAGATACTGAAATCTCAACACCTCTTATGTCTTCCCACGGGAAACGAAAATAGCACCACTC